TTATCACAAATTGAATAATACCTGAGCTCCTTCGCTACAAAATCTTCCAGTGCTGCGAGAAATGATATTCGCGAATCGTTAAGGATAGCTGCTGCTCGAAGAATACTTGTTTGAAATTCTCTAGACGAGCATAAACGAAGATTTTTGTTTTGGCATACGTTTTTCGAACTTTTCCACAAAATATACACAGTTTCATAAAAGTCACAGATTTGTGTAAAAGAGGACCAGATTGCGATCTTGTTGAAGGATTTAAAATAATGTTTAGCGGTAAATTCTGATATGGAATCTTAATCTTGGATCTGTTTCTACCGGCTGTACCTCGAGGTTTGATCTTATTGTCGTGTTGCGGATCCTATCTCTCCTGTTCTTTCCCTCAACCTTTCTTAGGTACCTCATCTCCATTGTCTGGAGCTGCCCCTTGTGTTTTGAGGTAAGGGTCCATGATTCGGAGGAGTAAGAGAAGATGGGCAAGAACGTTGGCTTGTAGACGGATATCTTATGGATATTATTAATATCCATGTTAATGCTAGATAACTCTTCTTGCATGATATTTATGTTGTATTGTAGGTCCCGTTCATCCGCAGCGAATATAACGAGGTCATCGGCAAAAGCGAGGACTCTGTAGAAAGTAGGCTGTAGACTCCTATATCCCAGTTGAAAACGCCGCAATCTGGGTTCAGCTCTCCTCAACGCTTGATCCAACACCAGTATGAAAAGTAGGGGACACAGGCTGCACCCCTGCCGTATTCCCTACATCGTTTCAAACTCCTTGGATGTGTGGTTGCCAGTCCTTATAATATTTCTGGTTTTTCGACAGAGACTGCTAACAGCCAGGATTGTGCCAATGTCAACTTGTCTTTCAGACAGAGCTCGCTCTATATCCTCCTTTTTGACCCTGTCAAATGCCTTTTTAAGATCCACGAAGCAGACAGAAAGCTCTTTCCCTTTATCGATGGACTTCTCTATGACCTGCCTCAAAGTGAATATCAGGTCCTGTGTACTCCTCGAGTTTCTGAATCCATACTGCTCCTCTCCGATCTGGCATTCTGGAGTGAAAGATCTGTAATAGATTATTTTCTAATTAGAAAAGAAGAGGTTGGCGAAGTAATGGATGCAAGAGCCAAGGGAGGGTATGAAATTGGAAGCGATCACTACCTCCTGGTGCTGGACAGACTATGGAATGAAGAAACTCCTCGGAAAAGCCACAACAAGAAGGATAAAAAGAAGATAATAAAGTCCTAGAGGCTAAAAGAAGAAGAAATGGCTTCCAAAAAGAAATAAATAGGATGGCAAGAGAGTCTAACAACCCATGGGATAGTGATGATATAGAGCAGAGCTGGTCATCATTCAAGAAAATTATTCTCGATGCTGCTAGACTGGTATGCGGAGAGAAAAAGACAGGATCTGGGTTTAAAAGAAGTCTTTGGCGGACCAATGATGTCAAGAAGATGGTGCAGGAAAAGAAGAAAGCATGGAGGGACTTCCTCAGCCAGAGAACCTGCATCCTATGAAAAGAATAAGGAAAGAAGGAAGGAGGCCAAGATAAAAGGTATTTGAAGTTAAATAAGCAAACTTCTAGTTTCTATTACTCATTCAATGCAGGCTAAATCTGTGATCTGGATCTAGATGGGAATATCATTTTATGTTGTTTTTTTAATATATTTTAAGGCATTCAACCACTTGGGTCAATATCACCTTATTTTCACTGAGAATTAGATTTTATTTTCAAGTTTAGAATGTTTCAGAAAAAAAAATAGTTTATCAATTTCATTCGTATTGTCCTGTAAAATGAAGAGTAGATCGTTTGTCAAGTCACAAGACAGTCTAAATGTTTCGTAAGCTCTGCATTCTGTTAAAATGTGTTTCACTGTCACAAGAGTCCCACAAGTTTGGCATGTTGGCGAAGATTATTTTGATACAGAAAATTATTTGATGGCGGTTATAAAATCCTCAACAGGTACTCTCCGACAAGGTATTCCATCAGTAATGGCCTTTTTGGCAGCTCAATCAGCAAGTTCATAACCGGTTACTCTGCAATGCCCAGGGACTCAGACAAAAATTACTTCTATTTGCGGACTTTATTGAGTACAGAATATTTTGTATTATGATATTAGATGAGAAAATTTCCTAGACTAATTAAGGCGGATAGAGAATCTTTGCATATGACAATCTTTTGTTTAGTGGGCTGTTTCTTGAAAAATTGGAAGTTCAATATTTATAATATTTAGTAAAGTTGAAACTCTGATTGTAAAGGTTATTCTATTTGGTAATTCAGTATGTTGTTGATTAATATATTTCATATTTGAAAATAAATCAGTCAGTGGATGATTAGAAGCAGAACGGATCTTAACAAAGTAAATGAGGTCAAGTTGTTGTCTCCGTATGTTAAGAGGAAGCTCACCAGCTTCGACACATAGGCTATTTGCAGGGCTGGATCGGAAAGCACCAGTAGCTATTCTGAGGCGACATTTTTATACAGGATCTAGGATTTTTAAAATGGTACTCGATGGCGAATTCTAAGCATTACAGCCATAGTCCAATTTCGATCTTATCAGTGTCCTATACAGGGTTAGCATGCTTTTTCTATTGGCACCCCAGCTAGTGTTACTGACCATTCTTACGAGATTCAGGGAGCGGAGGCAATTTGCTTTTAATTGCTTAACATGCTGAGTCCATCTGAGGGTTCTATCAAAGGCCATTCCTAAGTACCGTACAACGTGGGGGAAGGTGACTGATTGATTGTTTATGGTCAGTGATGGTCAAAAGTTTGGCTGTCTTTTGCTAAACAGAATCGCAACTGTCTTACTTGATGAAATTTTAAAACCATTATCAGCAAGCCAGATACTGATGTTGTCCAAAGCAGTTTGTATGTTATCTTGTAAGTCCATTGCATGTTTTCCCTCGGTATACATTACAAGATTATCAGCATAGAGCAAGCCTATGATGGTTGTCTAATAACATTCAACACCTGATTAAAGCAAATGCAAAAAAATGTCGCACTCAATTCACAACGCTGGGGCTCTCAATTCTCCTGTTCGAATCCATGAGAAAGGACATTACCAAGATAATAAAGATAAAGATTCTATGAATATTAATAGCTATAGATCAATTAACTTAACCTCTTCTATTTGTAAATTGATGGAGAAATTAATAAGCAATAGATTATTATGGTATCTTGAATCCAAAAATGTACTGCCACCTTGGTAGAGTGGTTTTCGGTGAGGGAGAAGTACGAGCGATGATTTGGTTCGTTTAGAGACTGATATTTTCAATGCCTTTGAAAAAAAGAAAAAAAAATTTTCCTAACCATATAAGTTCTATTTGTTAGAAAATTATTTATGAAGGCAAGTACATGACCATCAATTCCAATTCTAACCAGGGTGTAAATTATTAGTCTTCTCCATGCCCTATCGAATACATTTTCTATGTCAAGAAACACAGCTAAAATTTTTTTCTTGTTTTCAAAGGCATTGAAAATATCAGTCTCTAAACGAACCAAATCATCTCTCGTACTTCTCCCTCACCGAAAACCACTCTGCCAAGGTGGCAGTATATTTTTGGATTCAAGATACCATAATAATCTATTGCTTATTAATTTCTCCATCAATTTACAAATAGAAGAGGTTAAGTTAATCGATCTATAGCTATTAATACTAACGGTATTGATTCAATGGATTGTTTTCTATTGAGAAAGTATGCTGAGTAATTTAAGGATGAAGAGTAGTATAAAAAGGTTTAGCTAAATTGTTCGCTAGACTTACAGGGTCAGTTTGATATTGATCACAATCTTTTAAGCACTTTATTTGAGGAGAATAACCTAAATCCATTATTTTTCTAATCGTTTGCCAGAAAACAACACTTGGTGTATTACAGCTAACTTTACTGAGAAAATTCTGCCATGATAATTTTTTTAATTACATATCTCGTATGTTTTCGGGCAGATTTATATATCTCTAACTTTTCAGAAGATGGCCTGCGTATAAATTTTTATAAAGCTTTTTTTCTGTTTTTTATCGCCTTATCACATTCATCAGTCCACCAGGGAACAGGGGCGTGTAAACTATTATTGGTGGTGTCAGGTGTGAAACTATGTGGAATCGCTACCTGAGCCACTTGTAGCAATCTATTGTTTAATTGGGCTATTAATTGATTAGCATCAGATTCCGATATATCAATGTCTGCAAGCTGAGATACCTCTTGAAAAAGGGCCCAATCAGCTTTTTTAATCAAACACTTGCTATGTCTGTTGGGTGAGAAGCATTTATCGAGAGAATTAATTATGATGGGGAAGTGATCGCTACAGTGTGCCATCCAGTGCATACCAATGGGTCGATGCTTGTAATCGTCAAATCTATTGCAGTAAGTTTTCCAGATCTAGCACAGAAGTGAGTTTGGTAAATATGGTTATTTATAATATTCAAATTACACCTATCTAGAAAAGATTCTACTAATTTATCTCTATCATCCAAGTGATCACTACCCCACATTAAGCTGTGAGTGTTATAATCTACGGCCAAGATAACAGGAGGCAGCAACAAATCAAAAAAATCTTTCAGTTGTTGAGCCGTGAATGTTCGACCAGGAGGGAAATATATAGAACAGATTGTGAACGCACAAGGTTGAGATAAAATTCTTATAGATACCGCTTGTAAGCTAGAATTGATATTAAGATCAATAAAAGGGATATTGTCATTAATTATAATACGCACCCCGCCTCTAGCAATTCGACCATCTGTATAATCTTTTCTCCTTATTACATACTCTCTCTTGTATACTGGACATTTAGAACTATAAGCAGGATGACTATCAAGGCAATTTAGGCATTTAATTTGATCGTTTATGCAATTGTCAGAATTATGTGAATTTTCTCCACATTTTCCACAATTAATAATATTACAATGCTTTCTAGTATGCCTATATTTATAACAAGAAAAACAAAGGAGTGGCTTTGGTTCATAAGGTCTAATTTTTATGGACAAGAAATCCAATAAAACTCTTTCATGTAATTCGCCCTTTTCAAACTTTAAAATCAGTAACAAACAGAGTGGCTCTATTTTCATTATTTATTTTTTTATAGATTCTTTTAACCTCCACAACACCGTGGTTCTCAAATTCAGACACTATTTCATCTTCAGGACAATTTAACAATTCTGGGACGTAGGCGTCCCCAGTTGAAAAATTAAGTGATTTGTGTAATTCAAATATAATCAGAATATTTTGGAACGTTTTTATATTTTCTAAATTTCTAAAATCTTTTTCCTTATTTACAGTCAATAATATCGTACCATTTCTCAAAAATTTTACAGTCTCATTTGGACCATAACCTTTCACAAGTCTGCAAACATTAAAAGGACTGTAGTCCTTAAAAGTTGTACCACTCGGATTATCACTTAATCTCATTATTAAATATTTTTTCTTTTTTTTTTATGATCGATTAGTGAAATCATAAAATTTTTCAACAGTTCATGACAAACAGAATATATTCCAAACAAGGTTAACACAATTGAAAAACTAATGTTGAATCATATTTATTAAATAACTACCGTCAACTTCGCTCACAATGTGTCCATATGTCACCCATATTAAACCATTTTGACTTTTGTATCACATAAACAACCACATTTAAGTGTAGAGTACAGTGTACCAAAAAATATAAATCACTTGACATGGTTGTCTTCAACTTGATTTCTTCACAGTTTTCAAGATGGAACATAATCAACAGGTAACTTGAAAATTCTAGGAAAATTATTCACTTCATCACTTTCTAAAACTTTAGGTACTTTTCTTAGCTGTTTAATTTGAGATGAAATATTTGTATGAATATCCTCTGGTATAATATCATCTGGATAAATAATTAGCCTCTTCATTGTATGTCTACGTTGCAGGTTTCCCTTCATAGAAGAATAAACAGCCTTTTCCAGGATCTGAAAATTTTAAAGCAATAATTACTTTAAATGATTTATTAAAAATTAATTCTTGATAGATATTTGAAAATTTCTTATTATTTAAGTAACATGATGCTTGCAGTATTGTACAGGATATCCCGTAAGCAGAGGGAAATTTTTATAGAAGTGATATTAGACCTTTATAGAAGTGATAGAAGAGCGACAGAGAAGTTCAAATAAATAATTGGCCAACTTTCAGCATAAAAGTAGAAAATCCAAGTTTAATGTTTTATTTTTACAAAGTAAGTTATGTTTTTTGTTGAATAGGAAGCAATAAATAAACAAATATTTAATTTTAGTAATTAACAACTGTTTCACTCTAAACTAGATAAAATTTACTTAAAAGAAAAATGGAGTTTGTCATTGTTAAAACCATTTAAAAAGGACTTTTGAGAGAATACACTAAGGTAAGTTCTGTTTTTTAAAAAAGCCTCAATTATTCCCAATTTTTTTTTTATCATCCTCCATCTGTAGTACCGATACCCCCTTTTTAGGGAAACTTAGTTGTTTAATAAACTTCAAGTCCATATTAATTAAGTTAAGGTTTATTAGGGAAAAAATTGAAATTCACCTCAAGTTGTGTAAAAACACGATTTTTTATCCTATCACCTAAAAGTACAAGTTGTTTTAAGCAAAAATGGCAACACTTGACTGTTGCAAAGCTTATATTTCTAGTTTTTACATGATCTGAGATGTGTTGTAATAAACATAATTCCCTTAATAAACTTTTTATATGTAAAACCAAGAAATTTAAAAATAACGATATTACAAATATTTTTCATGTAAAGTGGTTATGAAACGTTGTTTTTCTCCCAGACTTCTGCCATAGGAATTGGTCCTTATTTATAAGTGACAAACGTAATGTTTCTAGTCCAAAAATTTATGTTTAAAATAATGAAACCTGCTAATTGTTTCAATTATTTTCATGAAAATGTTAAAGCATTCAAAAAGCTATTTTGAATCTTGCCATTCATAGGGTATTTTATCTCACAATCAAGGGATTAAAAAGTATTTATTAACTCCTTAAAAAGTAGTTAATTTAAACTGATAAAATAAAAAGTCAAAACTTACCATTGTAGGAGATTTCTCATGTAATTCCCAAGCTAGTGTCCAGCTTGCTCCACCAGGATATCCTGTATGGTGAAAATAAACTCGTTTTTTCCATTCATCCCCAAGCAGAGCAATGTGACGACTATTAATAACAACAACAACATCACCACAATTGGCTGAAAGAAAAAAAAAAACAAACATAAGAATTGCAACAGAACACAGTTGTGGAAGTGAGAATATACATCACATATATTGTTATGATGCCAATTTAACTTTTATTTTGAACTTGATCAAGGTTTCAACTTCACCATGAAGGTAACGATTGATGTGTTGTAATATAATCTAATTGGAAGGAGCTTTATTCAGTGAATACAGTGGGTGGGGCAGGACTTCCCATAAAAGCATTACCAGGTAGGTTCTTACATATTTTGCAACATATGGTCGAGCATTGTCATGTAATAAAACCACCTAGTCATGTTACACTGCTCGTATAGTGGCAATTTTTCCTTTAGGGCTTAGCCCAAAAACAAAAATTGATGTTGACAGCGATTTGCTATCATAAATTTCATACGGTGTGAGCACCTCATAATAAATTACATTACACTGTGCTGATCCCATCAAATGCAGAAGAGAAGTTTTTAACTATGGGGGTGGTGTGATCTCGTCCTCGTCGTGCCCCTGGATAACCAACCAAACGATCACATAGTCGCCAGACTCCCAGTGTCACCAATAGCGACTTATGGCGCGGCCAGCACAAAGCCTGGCCAACGCAAACGGCCTTTCTCAAGGCCATAACAACTTTATCTTAAAGACTCTTTTTTGGAATGCAGGTGGTCTCACCAGTGAAAAGTACACAGAATTGAAGCATTTTATATCCTCAAATAAAATTGATCTATTTTGCATTGTTGAGCCAGGCGTTGCTACTGATTGTCTTGAATACTTCAGGTATCCAGATTTCCAAATTTACTCACTGCCAAGAGCTAGGCAGATAGCATCAGGAATACTTGTTGGTATAAGGTCTTCCTTCACGGTCAAGTTTCAAGTTAAAAAGGAAATGGATGCAAATGATAAATTGGAAGGAGTGGAAATCAATCTGTGGTCAAACAATTTCCACCACCAAATATTTGGCATCTATAACCTCCCTAATAATAAACCGAATTTGGGTTGGCTGGAGGATTCTTTGACGGACAAATCCCTTGTGTATGGAGACTTCAAAACGTGCACTCCAGGCGCTGGGGTTACACAAACTCAAATTCAGCGGGGAAAACTCTGGAAGAATTTATCGATACAAATATGATTGAATTTGTGGAAAACGAAAATTCAAAGCCCACTTTTATGGACTACAAAGGTAATAGTTCCCACCCTGACCTATTATTGGTGCACCCACGAATAGCTCCGCTGATCTCCCACACAGTTGCCTCTCCACCTGGAGCATTTGGTCACAGGATAATGCTTGCCTATCTTAATGGCAACTTAAAGTCTTATAATGATTCAGTGTCTCGAATGCTCCGATGGAATTTGAAAAAAGCCAATTGGAATGAATTCTCTCAGCTCACTCACACAGCCATTACGGATAAATTCATTACGGAAAATGTAGATATAAGCTGCGCCCGACTTCAAGCGGCAATTCTCGAGTGTGCAAAGCAGTCCATTCCACGGGGATTTATGAAAAGATACTCCCCCTTCTGGAGTGAGAAACTACAGAAACTAAAAGATAGTAGAGATGTAGAAAAAAAAGATGGAGAAATGTCAAAGAAACCGGAAGATATAGTAAGGCTAAAACAACTTACAGCAACCCTTAAGTACAATATAATTCAAGCCAAAAGAAAAGCTTTCAGAGAATATTTGGCCAACCTGAACTTTTGAAGAGATGGAGTAAAAGCACATAGATTCATCTCAAAACTAAATGGCGGCAAAGACCCAAGGAACAACCCCCTGAAGTTCAATAACAAAGAGATATATACCGGACTTGCCATAGCAAGAAACTTTTGTAAATTCTTTGCAAAGGCCTCTAATTATAAGCCAGCAGTAGGAAATAAGAAAATTAATACCAAACCAGAAATCCTATGTCTGAATTCCTCTGAAGCCCAACTCTTTGAAGACGACTTCAGTAAGGAAGAGCTTGAACTTGCACTGGCACAAACAAAGAAGAGAAAAAGCGGTGGCCCTGATGACATATTACCAAAGTTTCTTATTCACCTGGATGCAAAAGCCAAGCTCATTGTGCTAGATTTTCTCAATGCTGTGTGGAGGTCGAAATATCCTAGTGCTTGGAGGAAGGCTGAGGTTGTCCCAATTCTCAAGAAAGGTAAATGTTCTTCTTGCCCATCTAACTGCCGACCTATATCGCTCATAAGTGTTTTTTCTAAGCTCTACAAGAGAATGGTCCTAGCCCGGTTACAGATATATCTTGATAGAGAAAACAAGATGTCATCAAAGCAAGCAGGTTTCCGGAAGCACCGATGTACAACTGAGCAGGTGGCTCATTTTAGTGAGGATGTAAAAGACGGATTCCAACATAAACAACATACTCTTGCAGTATATGTTGATTTTAAAGCTGCTTTTGACAGAGTCTGCCGGAAAGTACTTCTGAATAAACTCCTCAAAATGAACATCAGTGGAAAAATGTACCGAGCCATACGTTCCTTCTTGGCCCAGAGGTTTCTCAGAGTAAGATACAATGGCTGGTGTTCAGGCTTCAGAACTTTTAGTCAAGGAGTTCCACAAGGATCTGTTTTAAGCCCCACACTCTTTAATATAATGATTGATGACTTAATGGCTGTACTCGAGGGAATACCCGGAATATCTGCTCTACTGTTCGCTGATGATCTACTAGTATATGCGACTAGTAGCAACATAACAGCACTCGAAGCAGCAATTAATGAGGCAATGGCAAGACTTTTTACCTGGGCCAAGTGTAATGAAATGGAAGTAAATACGCAGAAAACTGAATTCTAACTGTTCACCTTATCAACAAAAGGGTGCGAGCTGGAAATCATCTACAATAATGTTCCCTTACCAAGAACCTATGCAGGCAAATATCTGGGAGTTAGGTTAGATACAAAAATGATCTGGAACAGACAAATTAAAGAGATGGTGGAAAAGGGGAAAAACAGGCTAAAACTTCTGAAACGCCTTGGAGGAAAGACATGGGGGGCCACCCAGGATGTGACGGGTCTTGCATATAAAACCTATGTACGCCCAGTACTGGAATACGGTTCTGAAGTCATCTGTACTGCGGCTGATGCATCCCTGAAAAGATTAGACGACCAGCAGAACAAAGCTCTGCGTTTGATTTTGGGGGCACCGCGCTCAACCCCTGTTGTAGCTATGGAACTGCAGACCACAGTAGGACCTCTATCGAAACAGCGTGAGCGAGCTGCAATGTGCCTTCACAAGCGAATGAAAAGAATAGACCAAGAGTTTTGGAAAAAATACAAAATCCCCTCTCAACGGCTCAAGACACAAAAATCCTTCATGCTGAAGGCGATGGCACTCTTGAAGAAAGAAGGCTTGACTGCGAAGAAAGGGAACCATTTATACATCCACAGTTACCAATTCATAATCACGCATTCAAGGCAGAACTGCAACTCCTTCATAAAGCGGACAAGAAAAAAACACCTGAATACGAGCTAAAAGCATTAGCATTAGAAACCATAGCTCAAAAGTACCCTTCTCAGGATTGGCTCCATACCTATACCGATGGATCAGCTGAATCAGCCGTTAAAAATGCTGGAGCAGGGGTTTACTCAAGGGAAATTCCAAATCAGTGCTGCGGTGGGAAAAGATGGAACAAATTTCAACGGTGAGATAGCGGCGATCCTCATAGCCTTAAGAACTTTGTCTAGAAGGCGGGATCAGAGCGCTGTTCTCTTCATCGATTCCCAAGCAGCCATCCTTGCTGTCACAAGCACGAATGAATGTTTATCGAGTGCTATATTGGAATGTAAATCCCTCCTCTCTAACCTGACACACCGAGGCACCAATGTGGTCCTACAGTGGATCCCCAGCCATTGTGGGATTCCGGGTAACGTTGAGGCTGATATTCTTGCCAAGCGAGGAACAGATTTGCCTCAGCCGATACATCCAAAACCTTACGACTCAATACGGCAAATGGTGAAGATGGTAGTGAAGGAGGAAATAAGAAAAGTACATTTCGGCAAAGTGGAAGGGAAGCGTTACGAGTGGTTGAAGGATAATCCGATTCCAGCTGAGCTGCCGAGAAGAGGTGCAGTTGCCTGCTTCCGCCTGGCTACTGGTCACGATTATCTGCAGAGTCATCTCTACAAGATAGGCGTCGCTGAGGATCCTACCTGTAAATTGTGTCATCTAGGAACAATGGATGCAGACCATCTAGATGCATTTCCTGCCTTGAGGAACATAAGAGACAAAATATTTTCAAATATACATATCAGAAAGTCTAAATTATACTGGGCAGCAAGATGTTGGATGGCCAAATGACCAACGACTGGCATAAGAAAAAAAAAAAAAAAAAAAAAAAAAAAAAGAAAGTTTTTAACTATGGATATTTGCATTTGTGGATGATGTTGACGCTTACCCCACAATGTTCTAAGCTCACGATTAACGTGCTGTATCCATTTTTCAGTGCATCACGATACCATGCAAACAAATTTTCCATTTCTGCTTCAACTCACATGGCACTTAATGTCCTTGTTTCAGGATTATTCTAAATGCTTTTAAAAGTTTTGAAACCGTTGTGTCATCAACTAGTAACGATTTTCCAAGTTCGGCTGACATCTGACATGGGTTTTCATTAAGTAATTTATCCAATTGTTTGTCTTCAAACTTTTTTGGTGCAACTTAAAGAGATTCATTCGCAACTAATTCCACTAATTTTATATGCTTAATTTATTAGCTGCAAAGCTATTATCTTAATTACATTCACAGAGTACAGTTCTTGTTTATTGTATAAAGGGTAGAATGGAAAAAAGATTACATCAGAAAGAGAAAAGGAAATTGAAACGGGACTAATTAAAAGAGATTAAGGATCTTAAAAACTTTAATGAAATAGAAAATTTTTTCAATATGTTAATACCAGGCTAAATAGGCCAGAAGCCATTTAGGTCATGAATAGCGGCACGCAGAGAAGCTGATGGCACATAACTTAATGATGAGAAGTTACTGGAGGGATTGAGTGATTGTTTCAGTAGTCTCTTGAATAATAATGGAATTTGAATCTTGTTGTTTGAACCTGTGAAAGATATACACCGGAGGGAGACCTAGAGCCACCAGATTACGAGGAGGTTCAATAAGCAATAAACCACCTTAAAAATGAGGTGTTATAAGTCATCAGGAACAGAAGGAATTCACAGGGAATTCTTGAAATATGAAGGAGAAAAAGTGGAATTGTTTTTGAATGATCTTGCAATGACATATGACAAAGTGAATAAAGATGATTAGTATATGGAAATTGATGAAGGGAGCTGACGGCCTCTACTCTACCGTGCAAAAAGAAAAATAGAAACTAAGTCCGATTCTTAGAAGAATTTTTAGGTCAGTTTTCAGTGATAATGCGTGGTGGTAGAGAACAAATGCTGAAATAGATGAATCATCATTTTTCATTTGGTCTAAATATTTACCTAATACATTATTTTCACAAACTTTAAGGTGTTCTTAATGTAAGCAGTAAAATTTCGCATTTGTAAAACCATAGGAAGTATAATAGTTTTGTAATATTTGAAAATGATAAATAGATATGTTGTGTTGATTTGCAAGTATGTTTTTAACCCTAATGAAAACATAAAACATATGACAACATATATTTTTTATCTTATACTGTTGATGAATAGATTTAATTTTATAAAACAAACATTTATACTTGTAAACATAAATCAATATAATGGTAAAAATGAACATTTTATTTTCTGCATTTGATAAATATGAAAATTTAAATCACAAATTTAGTATTAAATATAAGCAAAATAAATTGAAAAACTATTATAATTCAGACAGAAATCTATAGTCCAAAACATTGAAAGTAAGAGCAATACAATTTTTATATCACAATAAATTGTAACCACTTATATTAAAGAAAAAAAAGTTTTTAAATTATTGTACAAAATATTTGGATGGAAAATTTAGTGACCACATAATGTAGAATTGTATAATGCACTAATTTATTACTTTGGATGTTACAGCACCATAGATAGCTAGCTATACCATTAACGAAAGGATGATGATCTGGTAGTAATAAGAGAAAACTACAATAAAATCGTAATGCTGCTCAACTGTGTCGAGTTGCTATCTGACACAGAATACTAATCCATCTGATTGACAATATATAACAATTCAGCTTGATATACTTTGTATATAATAATGTCATTTGTTGTATTATTTTTCTTCTCCTCCTCATTCTTCTCAATTCTGTCATCAGGATTCAAGCAATGACCAGATTTAATAGAGGTGATGGTGCAGGATTCACAGTGAGTCCAAAATAATGGAATCTGCCATACTCTATATCTCATTCCTTTCAACACCTAGCTTTTCCGAAAATCTAGCAGTTGAAAAAGGAATAGCTCATCTATTTCCAAACCAAAGCCCTTTTACCGAAAAATTTCTCTCCCAAATTCTTCTCTATATTTCTCTTTTGGTTATGGGATGCATTTTTACTTTCACTTACCTATATATGAAATATACAGTAAGAGAAAGTATTGAGATTGGGAAAATTTTCGAATCTGAGTTTATAATGGAAATACATGTTTTAAGGCCCCCTGAGTCGAAATAACCAAGTCCCGCCAAATGGTCTGTGTGTGTGTGTTTTAACAGTCTAGCTCAAAAAAGAAAAGTCCTATGAAAGTGAAATTGCATATTTAAGGTTTTTATATGCTAGGGATATTACAGCAACTTTTTCATCAAAATTGGCTAACTGGAAGTGGCACTATATATCTTGGACTAAACACATTTTTACAATCTTCTCGAAAACGGCTCTAATGATTTTGATTAAATTACTAATATCAGTGTAAAATTAAACAGTTTTAAATAAAATTTAGGTTTTATTCTGATTGATGTTCTCTAAGAGGGCTTAAATGGGTAGTTTTCAATATTAGCTTTCCCTAAAGTACCTTTAACTTTTTTTATTTGAAATAATTGACCAATTCACATTCATCTATAATATAAAAGATAGTTAAACATAAATTATGAAAGAATTTGATAATTAATTAATGAAGAAATGAGAGATCGTAACAGATCGTCAACAAATGAGAGATCGTCTCATTACTTCGTAATGAAGTAATGAGAGATCGTAATAGTTGTAATTGAGGAACCACGAGGAACCCGAAAGATTAGAACACGCTTCCATACGTAATATGAGCTTAATAAAGGGCTCCGACAATATTATGTAAATGTACATATGTGGATTTCATAGATGCTAGTGCTGGTATTATTAATATTTGATTGTTTAGATTACAGCGATATAAATATTAAAATTCATTTATATAAGGGTACTTATAAAAATAAAAATACCCACAATGAAATATAAATCAATATAGTTTATAATTTTTACTTTCACTTCCCCTTTGTCTGAAAATACTTATTTCTGTTAAGAAGAGGGTGGTAAGTGAAAGTTGTGTGATGCGCACACCATGCCAGATTTTTTATATATTTCCTCCTTCTCAATTATTAGTTTGAGATCTTTCTACTCATCGTACATCTCATAACTAATAATAGGATCAACTATAAGACCTTTCCTTTTGCACTAAAGGTCGTGATCTCTACGAATCTTGCTGAACCTTCTATATCCAGACAATAAACTTCGAGGAAGCATCTATAATTTTTTCTCTCCAGGAATTTAGATATTCGATACTTTATATTATTGTGCCGGCGTGTGACAAGGAGCATGTTATTCGGACATTTGCCCAATACACGAGCTGAGGTTTCTGAATCTTAGCCACATTTACAGGCTGAGGAGAATGCCTAACTTTCTTTACTGATGTTGTCGCTTCTATTCGCATTGCAACCTAACAGATCCGCATATTGTTTGTATTCAAGTAGATGAACAATTTTAAATTTCATTTTTAATTAATACCATCCTCTTGTTGATTAAACTTTTTCATTCACAAGACAAAATGAGACACACTGGAATTTCTCATTTATATATAGTAATTGGTAATAACTTCAAAGTGCTACTACAATATGGAGACTCGGCAGACAAATCCCAAGCCGAACCTTTTCAATTGAGATTAAGGTTTAACTAAGTAAGACCCCTTATTAGAGGAGATTATATTTGATGTTGAAAAGGATCAATATTCACTGATATGAACCATTGATAAGGTCCCAACCTTAACTGAAAAGCAACTGCTGTCAGTTTGTCTTTCTCAAGCAGAGAGAAGTCAGGACAGTTAAAATCTAATTATAGCATTAATACTTATGATGACCACTAACTAATTTAATGAATAGGATTGCCAATGAGTAATGCTTTTATTGCTAAAAAAGTAGAAATTGTCAATAAATATAGAAATGCATGATACTTATATTACTAAAAAAATTAAAACAAATCTGCAGATTGGTCATATCCATCTACTTTCAAAAAAGCTTTTGGAACCTCATCTACAGTGTTATTGATGTGATCTTGTGCTATCCACCATATTAGGGCAGCACATCAAAAGTAGTACAAAACAATTTATCAATAGTAAGAAGTATTATCAAACACGGTTTTTAATAACATATAATTCTTGTAACTTTGAAATAACAGCTATGAGAAGAATACTAAATTACCAGCAAACAATTTGCTATTATCGTACTTACCAAATGGGTGATAAAACGGTTTATGCTTTCCCATTAAATATTTTGTTATAACTGCAGCAGATTGAAAAGGGTTTTGCCATTTTGCATCAAATAAATGCCAAACTTGAGAAAAAGCATTCCATTGCTAAAAAACGTATATAAAAGAAGAAAATAAATTTTTGAAATAAAATTCATGTATGCAAAGAAAACATTAATTTATATAAAAGACAAACTAACCCTAACTCTACCAAGGGCACTCATTTTTGGTGCTTAAAAACTGTGATATATAGCTGTTTATTTAAACCATACTGTTTTCTTATTACTGTTGCTGAAAGCGGTAAACTAATTGTAAGTTTCTTCAATAATCTGAATAATTAGTTACTTAAAGGTTATGTTATCATAAGGAGAAAGCAACGAGGTACGGTGAGTCAAGAGGTAGTAGTAAGACAATTTCTACAACACTAAACTCCTATCTAATACTATCGTTTCATTACATTCATCGAACTTCTATTATAAATTACTTGTACTAACTACTACTAGCCTTGTAAAAAATAAGAAGATATTATTTTTGATTAATATGTTTTGTTAAAATGTTTTTGTCATTTTTTTTGGAGATAATGAGATACTTTCGGTTCCTGTGTTCTATAATGTGCTATCTATTATAAATTACATTGATATCTAGAATTTAAGGAGTGGTTAGGAGGCTTTTGGATGCATTTTACAGGATTCACTCTTTGACCTTATATGCTATTACCTTTTTGAAATACCATATATATAAATTCTCTGCTTTTTTTTTTTAGATTACTGCGCAAAAAGTAAAAAAAAAAAAGTTTTGCATTAAAACCAATTAAAAGTTAAAAATTATTAATCAGAACAAGTTTTCCAATACTGTGAAACGAAACTCATCCGCAAACAATAACATGACCCCCTCCATGTATTATTATTAATCGAACATTTAGTCATTTAGATTCTTTGTTTATTTTTCGGCATATACCTATATCTGTTTCTGTCGCTTCCATATATACATATAAAACTACCTGAATAGTTAAACAGAACAGGTCATAAAAAATTTATTAGTTTGTACACAATGCCGGCCTTAGACATTCGGCGCCCCTGAGCAATGACGTCATCCTCCCTAAAAAAATTAAATTTATTTCTCAAGGTGCTTTATATTATATAATATTTGAATTTTATTGCATTCAACAAGTTTTCTAATACAGTAGCTTTATTAGTGGGCTAACAATTAACTATTTTAATACGTTTTGTAACTTTTTTTTATTTATCAAAAGCGGCGAGCGCCCCTGAAGATCGGCCGGAGCCCCCAATGGCCGCCCATCAAGGTCAGCGTTTGCCCCGCCCTAAAATCAGACAAAATTTTGGAAGCTTTATACGAATCTGACAGCTTTAAAAATCTCAAAAAGACCCAGAAATTACGTGATCATCAGCAGGAAAAAATCGGTTAGAATACTGTCAGAACACAATAATTTTATTATTGTTATTTTATAAAATCTGGATACATTTTTTGGAAGCTTTTCACGAATCTGACATGCAAATTTGAAAAATTGACCTAAAATTATGCGATTAGCAGCAGGCAAAAAAAACAAAAAAAAAACAGTTGCAATAGTTTTTACCACTTAGTAGGTACTTAATTTGATAAAATCTGGCAACATTACACGAATCTGAGTAGCAAATAGTTATGTTCACAGGGTTGTATAAAATATTCAATAAAGAAATAAAAGAGATGACGTTTATATTAACAAAAACGACACATTTCTTCATTATTATATATGTTTATTGAGAAAAAAAAATACATTTTGCCTCAATTAGGGGCATTTAGTATTCAGGATGAATGAAACACAATCATATCATATATAAAATAAAAGAAAAACAAGATTATAACAAAATAAAACTTGGAGTAACAGAATAAATCAAACATGATACAACATTAAATAAATACATTTTTTTTTATTTATGATATTTACAACTGTATTACAAGTAAAAATACATTCAGTAAATGTGAACAAAAGAATATAATAGCATGAAATCATTGTTGAGAAACTACCCACTGGTAGCACTCTAAAAATGTATTTACAAAAGGAGATCTCGAGGCCATCTTCTTTTCAGACGCCTCGGAGGGTTGTCAGGGATCGAAAAGGAAGCAAGGTTTGAAACGAGAGGGTTAGGATGGTTCTGAAGTTTGTTATGGAAGGATAGGTATCTGGATTGGGCCAGGTCAGAAACATAAGGAACATTAAGGTCGTTATGGATGATTTTGTTTGTGACATAGTAAGGAGCTGTGAGGATTTTAGATTGTAAGGATTGGATGCGAGAGGAATTCGATGGCTTAGTGGAGCCCCAGAGCTCAACTCCGTAAGTCCAAATAGGTCTTATTGTAGTCATGTATATGAGTCTTTTGTAATTGACTGGGAGCTTAGAGCGTTTGTCTAGTAAGTGCTGGAGCAGTCGGAAACGTCGAACTGTTTCTTGTCGTTTCAGCCTGGTATGAGGATTCCAAGTTAGACGTTTGTCTAAGTGGAGTCCAAGGTATCGAATTTGTTCAACAGGGATATGATGTGATTTCGAACACCATTCGCATTCCAAAGGAGAATGGAAAGGGGTTTTATTGAGGACATTCAAGGAATTCTTGGCGGTGGAATAAGATTAGCTATGTCGTTTGTAAGTAAGGTGATCAGCGGGGTGATGAAGGATTTGATTTCGGAGAGGAATGATGTAAGATCATTGGAATTGTTAGGGGGAGGAATGTAGGATATTTGGTGAGGACTGAACTTTTGGGTGTTATTATGTTCTGGTGGTGAACCATGAGGTAGTGGCTGAGTTTGCGGTAGGGCCTGAGGTTGAGAATGCTGTTCTAGTTCTCCTAACATTTGAGCATAAGAGACTTCTTTGTTTGCAAATCTTGAGGGTTGCCTTGGTGGTCTGGGAGTCCTGGAAGTCTTCATGTCTAGGTGCTGTCTGTAATCTTGATTTTAAGATTTTATATGTCTGGCATCCTTTGTAGTTGTAGGTGATCTTTATGGCATAATGGGCATACCGCAGGAGTTTGCTTGGACTTCCAATCTTCCGACTTATGTTGTTGCCCGCACTTCACGCATCGCGGTAAGCGGTGGCAATAACTTTTAGTATGGCCATATGATTGGCAATTATGACATTGTACTATTTCCCGTTTTGCATATGGTTTTTTGACAACTATACTAGTATAGTACAGGCGTCTTAATTTATAGATGTTATCAACCCCAGTGGTGCGCTCTAGGTCAACAAAAAATAGTGGTAGGGCTATTTCGTTGTTTGTACCTGGTTGTTCTTTGTTATCTTTATATAAGTTGACAATTTGGCGGACTCTGAAACCCAGTTCTGTCAATTCTTCTTTGATTGCATCAGGTGGAGTTGATGGGTGGAGGCCTCTTATCACTACCCTTAGTGCTCTCTCTTGTAATAACTGTTATGTATGGAATTCAGCCTTTGTATCAGTCAAGTATTTTACTATTTTTTTTTTATATGATTCAGGGGATTCTGGCATCAACTTGGTGTCATTGATTCGACTTTGACATGTGTATTTACTATTATCAAGTAATTTATTTAAATGCTGGCAAAATAACGGAAATTTTTTTATATTTTTTATAAATATTGGAGGTGGTTTTGGCTCTCTGGGGGTTGATGGTATTTCCATAGTTTCTTCTTGAGTATTAGATCGTAGTTGGTATGGGTTAGGAGTAAAAAATGGTGATTCATCTGTTTCAATGTTTGTTTCGGTGGTCATAATTTCTGTTCAGGTACCAGGTTATGGTTCATTTGGTTTATCAGGTGTAGATGGTGGTGTTTTTCTGTTAGAACGCCTAAGCTTTTGTTTTACTGGCGAATTGAGAGAGCTATTATTGCCTAAGCTTCTTGATCTTTTGTTTTTACTAGACATTATCATATGATGATATCGCATTTCATATCAACGACTATTGAAAAAGTTTTTTTTTTTTTTTACGTAAAAATTACGCAGACCGATAGAGGGCCGAGTGATGTAGCCTAGCTTATTTGACAGCTTGACAGGAACTGAGACTGCCGGGCTCTAAGTGGGGGGACTGTAGATAAGAATGGCCACTCTATCTAATTCTATGGTTGTTTACACTATTGTTTAAACTTAATAAACAAGCGGTTACTCACCGTGTTTATGGTTCTGTTCAAGAATGTACTATATAATTGTTCAATTACACTGATTTTTTAAACATAATTGTTCACAAATTCACAGATAATTAAGATACTTGTGAGAGACGATGTAGCAGGTGGGTTGATAGATACTCGACACATTTCTAAAACATTCCTATCACATTACCAATTTATTATAAATTCGTTTATAAAAATTACTAGAAGTAAGGTGAAACAAAAGGTCACATACTGTCCTCGTTATCTGCGGAATCATAGTCTGCTTCTTGTTCAATGTCATATTCAGTTTCATTCTGTTTTTATGTCATCGAAATTTTTGATTTCCATTGGTAATAGAAACTCATCAAACCAGAGTGGAACGTGATCACCTTCACAAATTATCCATCCACTACCTAAATAGAAAAAAATAATGAACACTATATATTCAATGCAATTTACTACACTAACACGTTAAATACATCATATAAGTTATCTCTTCAGGAAAAAATTCTCCTAGCTTTATTTATATATGTGGAACCTTGTTGTCCGTGCAGTGGGCAGGTATGGTTTTCTAGTTCCAAGATATTTTCTTTTGGAATCCTTTCAAATTAGCCAAGTTTTGAAAATATTTATATAGATCTTTAGTTTTTTTTTTTTCATAAACGTACGTTCATGGAGTCAAGATAAACTGTAGTGGCCTTTTTCTATTCTTTACACCAAGAGGTTGATGTGAAGTCAGACCCTGTCTAAAGACTAAAAGCTGGATCGACCTTAACATTTTGCAGGGACGGTAACCACAAAGCGTGGGACCAATCTCCAGACTTTGTGGGAGGATGATATACTAACGGAGGGATCAATCTCCTGAGTTGTATGGAGAAAGAATAGGATAAAAGGTTATTGGACAGAGTGAAATAAAAGGCAGTTGTTAAATACAAAAAGCGTATATGAGTCATATACTGAGACCCGAAGACCTGTCGAATTACTCGTAGGATTGCGGTAATCATTCTACCATAACTAAATCGGCTATCAAGAGCCGTTACAATCACAGTTACTTTTAAGCTTTGATCAGTATATGTTATCATCATTTAACTTTATTGATAAGAAGTATTTATAATGTATATACATGTTTCAACTTACAATTTGAGTATTTTACCATACAATAATAAGAAATAAAAATACATCTTTTAGGTATATTGCACGAGCGAGATAGTGTTGCGCTGCCAGGTAGCGGACAGATGAACTATTTGT